ATATATATATATATATATATATGATTATGCAGCGGAGCGTACCACTTGGTACACCATAGTGCTGTAATTCTCTGGTGTTTTCTGATACACTTTGACCTTACTGGTAATGTCAAACAGCTTGCAGAGACTTGTGAACTTTAACCAGCAGTAGTGTGCACGACCTCGGCGTCAGCTGTGGGACCTCAGCCTGCTGCTGCCGGAGAGCCATGTGTGTGAAGAAGAGGAGGAGCTGGGCGAGCTTCTTGTCGTTGCGTGTGGTTTGGAGGAGGCCCGAGCTCCCCTGCAGATGCGTCGTACAGGTGGCGAACGACAGAGGAGTCCCGGCGTGTGAGCCTGTAAGGACGCATACAAGTCAGAGCAAACTGGGTCCTTGCTTCCCCTCAAACCCCCCCCCCCCTCCTCCACAGTTTGGAGGCCCAGAGGAGTGCCTCTGGTACTTGGACCTTCATCATGCCACTTCTAAAGGAGATGTCGGCTCCTTTGAAGTATTAGTGACATGACAGGTTTCCTTTCTTTTCTTTTTTCATTTCAGCGGTTCCCACCCACTCTCTCTCTCTCTCTTCTCGTCCAATCTTGCATTCTAATTATCACTAACCAGGCGACTGATTAGAAACACATTGCCGACCTAGTTTTCCGGTGGAGATGGAGGAGGAGAAAGGGTTAATCCCAGAGCTGGTGGCTGTCATTGGTCGCTTCCCTTCTTCTTTTCCTCTTTTTTCGTTCCGCTCTCCTCTTTTCTTTCCCTGGAAGTTTGCTAATGAGGTCCCGTCAGAGCTGAGGAGAGGTGTTAATTTGGCCTTGTGAAGTAGGAAGGAGATTAAGGACAGTGAGGAGCTGAGTTTACGGCTTAAAATACACCGCTGTCCTTATTAATCCACGGGGCCCTGGGAGACCAGCATTTTTGGTTTTATAATGAACACTGTCTTATAATGAAGGTAATTTTAATAAAAACTTGTGGAGAAGAAGAGGAGATGGTGCACGTCTCCATGCTCTCAGGAACACCTTTGGGGCTGAGGGACGTGACAGTTATTTCTCAAATAACTTATCGCTCGAGAGTCAGGCCCGTTGGACCATTCTTTTTGTAGAACTTTCATACAGACTTTTCTCTGCCCTTCCA